ATGTTTTTTCCCCTTTTTATAGCATTCTAGTCTAGATATAATTGTAAATAATATTTTAAAACAAACATCATCGTTTTTAAGAGTTTGCTTCTGCCCCTCGAATGATCTTGGTTTCTTCTGAGTTCCTTTGTTCTTTCCTTTTGTTGTCAGACTCACGTGTGGAGCTTGTGCTTCTGTGTCTTCTGATCTTGGCTCTGTTTTCCCTTATGGGGAATGGACCCTCTTGGGCAGAGCTTGGATCTGCCTGTGGGTGGGTTTTGCTCTGGGCTGAGAAGATGGCAAGGTTGGGTCCTCCTGAGTGGTTCCCAGATGTCGTCATCGGCAGGACTTTTCTCTTGGGCCAGGTAATGGCATCAGTCCACTTGGAAGCTGTAAACCCGGCTGCCAGTGTCGTATGAGTTGAGAGTTCCTGGAGTCCCAGGCTGATCCAGCTGTCCAGGCACACACCGCAGCCCAGTTCCAGCCTGGAGGTGAGACTCCCTCCCACATACAGTGACAGCCGACCCGAGCAGGATCTTAGGGTGTGACTCACCTGGACGTCTTCCTACCCCATAATCTGAATAATAACGTTGTTGACTGTGCCGGGACAAGCACATTCTCCAGTTTCTCCTGCCTCTAGATATAGGATTCTTCCCCCTTCCTGAAGTCTGTTTCACAGAAGTAACTCAGATTTGGGGCCCAATGAGGGTTTGCTTTCTCTTCTTTTTTCAAAGTGCATTTAACTTTTTTAAAGCAGTTTTTCTCTCATTTCTGTAGTCTTGTACAAAGAGAGAAATGGTCCTTTGGCCTTTCATTATTCTCTGTACTTTGCATTCCAGATAGTCAACTGATATTTTTAAACTGTCTTTTTGTAGTTTTCATATCAGTGTGTCAGTATATTTACTCTCTATGAGATTACCAGTATTAACCTATTTGTCATACTTGCTGTAAATATTTCTAGAGTAATTTCTTTCATATTTTAGCTATTTTATTTTTCATGGTAAAGAATTTTCACATCTTGACATAGTCAATTTTGTCAGTAATTTCCTGTCTTGAAAGCTATTTTATAAATGTCTAAGTCCACAGTTGTTTTCCTTCGTGTTTCTCATAATGTAGGTTTTAAATACTTATCTTACTTATCTTAAAATTGTTTTGTAATTTTCTTCTGATGTGTAAATGCATTTTCGAAAAAGTTTCCAAATCTAGCTATCACAATATTTTTATTAAATAATTTTTATACTTATGTCTCCAATCACATGTTAAATTTATTTGTAAAACGTCCTACGTTTTTGTGACTTCCACTCAATTTTTTGATACGTTCTTTCTTTGTGGCCATATTCATATTTATTCATTGTTCTTATTTTAGCATCACAGACTTATCTTAATTCACTTTCTTAATTCACACACTATCTGATTTTGTTTTTCTTATTAATTTATAGGCTGATCTGGTTTCCTTGCTTTTTCTTTTTCAGTTATCGTTTAGTAATTTTTTCATGCATGCAGTTTGCAGCTGTTCTGAGCTAGTTATGAATATTAAAGGATAAGTAAGACTTGCCTCGTATCTTCAAGGTGCACAGTCTTGAAGGGTATGATCGGTTCCTACTGGGAAGTTAAAGAAGAATCTTGAAAGCTTATGTTGGAAGGACAGAGTAAGTTTAAGAAGGACAGAGTTTGATTTGGGCTTTAATTTAGAGGCAGAACTTCACAGGGACAATAGCAGATGAGCAATAAGGAGTTTAAGAAAACAAAAACAGATACAGGGACCGCTGACAGGTTCGGCTGACATGTAGGATGAGGGCATGGAAAGTGGTTAGGGTACTGCTCTTCTAATTCTGGTGGAACTTTACGATCATATTAGGTAAACCATAAATAATGACAATTGAGTCAAATTTTTAAATAATGTCATCTGTTGACAAATGAGACGGTAAAAATGCTGTGTGGGTAATGTCTGTTTTTAAAGTTCAAACTCAAAGAAGGAAAACGACCCCTTTCAAGAATCATTTGCCACCTTTAAGACAGGAAGCAGTGCTGGGCATGGTGGTGTGTGCCTGTAATCCCAGCTACTCGGGAAGCTGAGGCAGGAGGATTGCGAATTTGAGCTCAGCCTGGGAAAATTAGTGACTTCGTGGGACCCCGTCTCAAAATAAAAAATAAAAAGAGGTTGGGAAATAGGTCAGGCCCTTTGTTCAGGCCCTGGTACCTCTTTCCTTCCTCCCACACAAAGGGAACAAGATGAGTGTCGATTGTATCAAGAAATTTTATCAAAGATCCCTGGAATCCTCCCCTAGTGTGTAAATTCATTACAGCAACACAGGTTACCAGGGCCATCAGCACCCAGAGCCGTTCATTGCTCACTAATAAGGGCAGGCAGAAGCAAGAAAGGACAACAGTATAAATACACTGGCTTCTTTTGTGAAAGTTGATGGTGCGATGATGAGAGCAGAATGTAGTTCTGGGAAGAGTATAGACAGACCGTATCAGGAGCCCTCTCATGTTCTAACCTGATGTGGTGATCGTCACCTGGCATACATCAAATATTGCACACCTTCAACTACACAGTTTGTGTTGTTGTTTTGTGGTTCTGGGGATTGACCACAGGGCCTTTGCATGGAGCTACAGCTCCAGGCCTTTTTTTAATTTTTTGAGAAAGGCTCTTGCTAATTCACTAAGTAACCTAGGCTGGGCTTGAACTTGTGATCCTTCTGTCTCAGTCTCCCAGAAGGTTGGGATTGCAGGTGTGCACTACCACAGCTGGCTAAATATATACATGTTTAAATTGTCAAATATGCTTTAATAAAGCTAGTGGGGGGTTCAGACTTTGTTTAGAATACAGAAGAGAATGATTCTGGTAGAGATGGAGAAGATGAATGTAAAGGAGGAAAAACCCACTTTAAACCACAGGCCTTTTAGGAAATGTAAAACACCTTGTCCCAAGACCTAAAAGGGAAGAAGGGACATTTTTTTCCTCTTCAAATGGCAGCAGGGATAAAATTAGAAGATGCCAGGAAAGAGGTGTTAATGCAGAGGGTGAGATGGTTTACACTGATGCTTTGATCTTCCAGGGAGAGTTGAAATAAAAATTACCCCCCTGGATCACTGTCATCAGAATCCAGGAAAGCAGACACTGGTAAGCTCTCCAGCTTCTTCTAACTAAAGTGAGAAGACCGCGAGTGAAATAGGAGTTACTCCAGATGCTGTATCCGTGTGACTGGGAAAGAATTTGTGTTATTTTGTTGTTTCTTGTGGTACTGGGGACTGCACCACTAGTATTTAGGAAGGGAGCAGAACAAACGGGCAGGCAAGAGAAGAGATAAGGGAATTGTTGAGCAGAGGCCCCCTTGAAGTTCGGAAGCAGGAATAGGTGTTGGAGAAGTTGCCCCACACCAGAGTACAGTTGAAGGTACTTCCGGAATTCTGCTAAGGTAAAGGGACTCTACCGGAAGACCATGTTGTCTCTTCTGTCAGGCCCCTGGAAAATTGCTGAAACAAAGACTTCAAGAAAGCTTGAAAGATTTCCCATCTTGTAGCTTTATAAAATGCACCTTTCTTTCTTGCCAAGCAGAGTAAATAACGCTGGTTGCTACACACAATCCTCTGGATTTGTGTATTCCAAATTTTAATTCCACATATTTATGATGAGCCTGCCAGCGTGTCAGGCCAGATGTTCCTCTGCTAGTTGTGGCCTAGTTTTGTTCGTGGACAGAACTGCAGTGTCTGCTGGATGCTGTTCACCTGCATTTCGGCAGAGATGGTCAGCTTGCCTTTTGTGGAAGAAATCTCGGTTCGTAAGACCCTCGTCTAGGCCACTGCGCTTTTCCTGACGTTTCTTGTCCTGTTTTTCTTCTTTCCTTTCCTTTTTCACTTGAGCTATCTCAGTCTGAGCCTCTTCTCCGATCTCCAGGTTGTCCATCCTCTTCCAAGATTATCTTCTTACCTTTCTTTGGGTGCAGACTGACAACTGTAGAAGTGTCGTGAGCACTTACTGTCACATTGTGTCTGGACAAACTAGAGGGACATAAACAGCTTTTGCAAAATGCCTTTGCTTTGACTATGGTTCCCGCCATCTCTGTCTCCTGTATTCCAGGGATAGTGGCCGCTCATCTTGGGTGCACTGCACTAAGGCATTCTTGCCGCCACCAAACCATGCCTCCCAGGTAGCTGCTGCTCTTCCTGTTTCCCTAAGGGGAGGTCATTAAATACTCTCCCCTTTCTGCAGTGTTCACAGACCCCACTCTCTCTTCCAAGGCAGGATTATTTTTTCATCTTTATTCTACAGTACTTTATATAAATATCAATGTGGGATAGCATGGTAGATTCATTTATATTTTCACTTCCACAACTGGACTTGAATATTTTGAAAAGGAAAAATTGGGTCTGTAGAGCTTTATTTTCCAAGTGTCTGGCATATCGTGGGTACACCATAAATTTTAGTTGAATTCGTTTGAACAAGAGCTCCTGTGTTTAGGTGATCCACACTGAAAAGTAAAATTCTTGGAAGCAAGCAACATGGGCAACTCTCTGTATTTTGTTATAATTGTAGCAAGTCTTTGTTTTTTCATGTAACACCATAGTTACAACAGCATTGATTAACCTGAGTGCCTACTTTGGTGGGAAAAGGAATTGGAGAAGTGATTGCTTTGATTTGCACACCAGGAAACCAGCCCCATGCTTATATCAGACCACACATGTTGTTTTTACAAAGACCCCAGCCAATAACTTTGATGAACTCAGGGGTACTAAGCCATTTTACATTCCAGGCCAAATACATTCTGAAAAAGAACAAAATGTACAGAGTGTTTTTGCTCGGAAGAACTTCATTCAGGAATGTTAAACTTGAGTTTAAGGCACTGGGGTGTAAGAAAGCCAGAATAATTGGTAAGTTCACAGTGGATTTTAAATGCAAGTGAAGTGTTTCTCGTGTGCATTGCTGAGATGATTTGCTCCATCAGAAATCAGTAGGGTGGATTTTAATGAATCTCTTTTCTTGAGATTTAATTGAACCTCTTTTTTTTAAAAAATAGGTTTCAGAACCTCCTCTGGTCCAGAAAGACATTCGTGGACAACATGAAAGTCTACAACCACAGTTACATCTACATGCCTGCCTTTTCTATGAAGACAGGAACGGAGCCATCCCTCCGGGTTTATTATACACTGTCAGATGTTGGTGCCAATCAAACAGTACTTTTTGCCAACCCCAACTTTCTGCGTAGCATTGGAAAGTTCTGGAAAAGTAGGGGAATCCACGCCAAGCGCCTGTCCACAGGACTCTTTCTAGTGAGCGCAGCCCTGGGCCTCTGCGAAGAGGTGGCCATCTATGGCTTCTGGCCCTTCTCTGTGAACATGCGTGAGCAGCCCATCAGCCACCACTACTATGATAATGTCTTGCCCTTTTCTGGCTTCCACGCCATGCCAGAAGAATTTCTCCAGCTCTGGTATCTGCATAAAATTGGAGCACTGAGAATGCAGCTAGATCCGTGTGAGGAGCCCGCACTCCAGGCCCCTTCCTAGGGATGGCAGAAGAAGAAAGCGCTGAGCCAGGGTATTTGTTAGGTTTTCCATGTGACTCCAAAGGGCAACGATCAGGTTGTCTCGTGGATTTATGTGTGCCCCTTCAAAAGATGTGAAAAGAACAACAAAAACTCAAGCAGAACTTGTAATGTTGGCTTGGAAGATAAATAAGAAATGGAACATCCTGTGAAACATTTTGTAGCACATTTGCAACTAGGAAAATCCTGATGAGGATGTTGGCAAAGCACATTTGTATAGTTCAAACCTGCAAGATGCAATTCAGAAACAAGATGAACTCTAGCTGTTGAGGCTGACAAACTAATCAAGATAGAATAAAGAAAATGCCAGGGCAAAAGTGTGTTGCTAATGATCAACACAAACTGGCCTAATATAATTCAAAAAGACCTGTCTTATGAAGACTTATTAGCACCATAGGTTTTTAAAAATTATTATTTATTTTTGCCCTATTTAGGGGCAGAGAGTGGGTGATGGGGTAGATTTTTAAAATCCCTTATTGAGTAATAAGGATACAAAATGCTACAGCTGATTATTGTGATTTGTTGAGCCAATTCTATATTAACTGTAGCTCCCCTCTATTTCTAAAAACTTAAGAAGTGTTTCCTCCTCCTCTGTCAAGTGTACTTAGATGACGTGAAGCATTGTTGGATTTAGACTGTGTCGATTTATTGTCTGGGTAACACGAGCCACTTTCCCTCCTCAGCATTAGGACGGATACTCGATTTTAGGTCCGCATTATGGAAATCTGTTTGCATTATTATTATTTTAGTGCAAAAAGACTAAATGAGCATAATTGTCTTCAAAAATTTCATGTTCAGAGATAAAGCACAAGAACAAAGCTGAGTGTCTGCAGAAGACAGACTAGAAGACAAATCATTTTTCTATGTATATGGCATTCACTCCAAGATACACCATGTGTGTGCACAGATGCATATTGACATGTACACACATTACACAAGAGTCAAACAAATCTCCTTCTCATGTAACCATGAGAGCTGAACCCACATGACCTGGTATTGCAAAGCATGTTTAATCAGTGTTGGGCAGCCACAGTACATGTTCATATGAGACAAGCCAGCTTATGGTTGCTGCTCATAATGTGTGTACCAGCATGAGATGCAAGTCTTACCCCCAAATGCCTAATCCAGAATGAGCAGAATTGTTTCATTCTTTCTGACTCCCACCCAAATCTAATGAAGGGGCCTTGGGTAGGGCAAGGTCACACAAGTCATGGTTCATACAAATAAAGGGATATGAATTAGTAACTCTTTCTTTAGCCACGGGTAGGACTACTTAGGCAGCTTGGTCTAGCAGCCTTTGCACACAGCAAGACAACTCTGTTGACAGGTTCCAAACAGCTAGATGTGTTTACATATAAAGGCAATGGAACTTTTGCATTGTCTTTGTGCATTAGGGAATCCTAAACTAAAAGGAGACCCATTATCTTTATTTGTTCAAGTGTCATAAAAATGTAGGGAAACTGTACAAAAATGTTCTACTTCAATTTTGATGGTAGAAACTTAGTATGCTGTGGAGGTGAAAGCAAGTGTCATTGTTTTGTAGTGGGATAACTTTTGAGATATCAAGATAACAAAGCCTTGTTTGAGGTTCTGTCTGTGTAGGGGGTTTCTAAATGAATGTTGGGTTTATTGTAGAAATTAGCTTTTGTAATGGTGATGGGTCGGCATAACACGTTATACTGATACTTGGAAAGTTAAAATTTTGAGAGTGATTCCTTGTAAACTGGGTCGCTATTTTGATTTCATATAGCATCAGAAGTGTAATGGAAGATACTATGAATGAGTTGTGTTAAATACTTACTCATGCACAGCTCTCCTTTGAGTATATTTCCTCCAGTGACCTAAGAGAATACCTAAGTATTCACCTAAGAAAGGAATACATTTTTACCAATATACTTCATTAAAAAATGTAAAAGGGCTACAAAAACATGCATAAATTAATCAGCTGTGTCATTAGTCAGAGCAGTACACTAATTTGTAAAGTTGTTTAAATGTTATCAGTGGGCTCATAAAGCTGTATGTCCCCTTGCTATTGAAAATGCTATCTGGAAGTTATACATCTAAGTATAATTTCTGGAGTAGATATATGCAGTAGATTTGTATGACATTTAGTCTGTAAATTTTTTCTCTTTTTGGTACCGGGAATGGAACTAAAGGCCTCGCGTTTGCCTGGTAGGTGCTGCCCTGCTGAGCTACATCCCCAGCCCTAGTCTATAAATTTTTTAATTCTGTTCTGAAGTGCAAAGCAGCAGTGGCCAGTGCCAGTTATGTTTGACTGGATCTGTGTTTCTCAGCTAAGGCATTCCCTTTCCTTCCCCATGCTGTGGACAGTGTCTTGAGACATTTTTCATCATCATGGCGCGAGGCTGCTACTAGCGCATGTGGGTGGTGGCCACAGACCTTGCTAACTGTGCTACAGTGTGTGGGCCAGGTCCTCACAGCAAATAATTGCCTGGCCTAAAACGTCGGAAGGGCCAAGGTTGAGAAACCCTACGTTAGACCAAAGTGAATGTTTGACTGTTCTACCTTATCGTCACATGCTTACTGTTCAAAGTATGACTGTGATTTCCTAAGTGTTTTGTTAGGGTAGCTCATAGTTTGCCGTGACTTGAGAGTGATAATTCATAATTATGCCAGATATATACATTTGTCTGTGTTTGGTTCAATGAAACTGAACAAGAAATCTGTGGGGGGGGAGTGTATATTTGTGAATGTGTGTGTAGCCTGGAGTTATGCATCTTTCTCTATTGAATATATATGTTCCTAAGTAAGAACTTCTTTAGAGTTATCCTGTAGAGCACTCTGGAATATGCTATTACTATTAAGAAATTGAGTTATAAACTCCCATTAGTTGGGTGGGGGATTTAGCTCAGTGGTTCCGGCACCTGCCTCACAAGCACAAGGACTCCAAGTTCAATCCCCGGTACCAAAAAACAAAACAAAACAAAACAAAAAACCAACCAAACAACTCCCATTAGTTAATTTTGTTGATCTGAACTTAGGACCCTTAGAATTGTAGGTACTTTCCAACTTGGTCCAATTTTAATTTAGTATTCCTGACTCTTAAGACTCAGCTCAGCTGGGCATGGTGGCGCATTTCTGTATTTCCAGCTCTCGGGAGTCTGAGGCAGGAAGATCGCTGTGAGTTCCAGACCAGCCTGGGCTACACAGTGAGTTCCAGGTCAGTCTCAACTACATAGTGAGACCCTGTCTCAAAAAAACCACCACCAAAAAAAAAAAAAAAA